GAGAGGAAAACACAGAGGGATTGTGCCCTGTTACCAGCAGTTACCACGTGCTGCTCAGAGGTGCCCTAGGGCTGGGAGCAGGCATGCTCCAGGATTTGGAAGGAAATTTGGACGGTTAGTGCTGTCCCAGTCACACATGGCTCCGTGCCTGGCAAAAGCAGCTCCCGCGGTGCTAAGGATCCTTTGGAGTCGGTTTGTTCCATTGCTGGGCGGAGCCTGGATCTCGAGTGGGTGTGAGCTAAGTTTGGAGCAGCTGCGGTCAGTGGGTTCCTCACCAACAATTTTGGTCTGGCAGGGTTCCTCCCTGGGGCTGGGCTTCAGGGCAGCCCTCAGGGACAGACTGGATTATACTGGATTTGAAATGGGTTGTGTGGCTGTTTTAAGGGGGTTTTGTTATCCACTTTTGTTATCCCCTGTCATCCTCGTTCCCTGTCCAGTGTGAGCTCCCTGGCCATGGGTGGGTTCCATCCTTGCAGGTATACAGGTGGCAGCAGCTGGGGACTGACCCAGAGCAGGCTCTGAGTTTGGGACTTGCCATGGCAGGGTGAAGGCTGAGCTTGCAGCCAGGGCACCCAAGGATCAAATGTGTCATTGGGTCACGTTTAAAAGCCAGCACTCCCTGAAGCCTTTGGGATTTGTCTTAACAGCTGAGTTCAGACTTGGAGTTGCCTGCACTTTATATTGCTCTCCTTACCCTCTTATCATCATTTCTGGCTATTCTGACCTTTTCCAGCATCTCCAAGAAGCAATGACAATACAAATCCCACAATAAACACCCCCACACAAGATCCTGGGGTTGTAACAGAGTCTTTTAGCTTAGTTTCTTGAAAATAAAAAAATTTTGACTAGAGAAATTGCATTTTCTGGCTTGGTGTGGAGGCAGCTTCGGGAAGAAGAGAGGTTTTTAGTTAGAGCTGCACTGAGGACAGAGCTCAGTCCTCTGGGGATGTTTGCTGCTGACACAACGTTCCTGAAATGGAGGTTAATCTTCCAGGGATGTTTTTTGCTTCTCCCTGGAGATAGCTCACCAAGAACCCTCAAGGCAGCAGTGATGACAGCAGGAGGAGTGATTGCCACAACCAGGGTGACATCATTTAACCCCATGGCCTTAGATAAGTTATTAAGGACCATTCCCTAATCATGCCCTGATAAGAGTGAGTAGCTTCTAAACATTGAATAAATGCACTACTCAAGTCTTCCCAGCATGAAGTGTTTTGCACAAGTAAATTTTAGTTTTTCAGAGAAGAAGTCTCTACCTAGAGAATATTCTTTTCTTCTTCTATCTGGAGTTTCATGCCAGAGGTTTTGGCTCGTGGTGCCTGAAGCTGAGCCCTGCAGGAGCTGCCAGCCCTGCCTGCATGGGATGGCTGCATGGCTGCTTCCCCCTCCTGGACAAGACAATGAATGAGGGATTCTGGATTTCATGGATTTTCTTGGGATTCTTTTACTTGATTTCTTCTGGTTTTCTTTGTTTCCTTCCTGCTCTGGACTATGTATAGTAAAGAGGTTTTGTCCCTTTCATGCTATTCCCTCCATTTCTTGTTAATGTTTTCTGAGGGTTTTTTCTCCCTTATGTTCCTTTAAAAAAATCTAATTTGCCATCCATGGATGAAAAGGCTGCTCACACAGTTTTTCAGGAAGGGATCTAGGAAAAGCAAGGACACACTCTGTGGGACTGTGTCAGGAAATGCCTGCAGTGCCATACAAGTATTGCCTTATTGCATGCACTTGTAGGTAACGTCACCCAGCACAGAAGGGCAAGGGCTCTGCAGCAGCACAGGATACAGGGCTGCCCTGTGCTTGGGGAGGGAACAAAAACTCTATCAGCAGTGATTTTGTTCTGCTGAGATATCAGTGCAAACATTGCTATTTGTTCTTCCTCCAAGTGCAATGAATGTGACCTAATCTCTGCTTGTAAATCTACAATAGTTTAAAAATTAAATATCTTACTGCACTTGTAGACAGATCTCCCAGTTTTTCAAGGCACTAATTCCCTCCTTGCTCTAACAGAAAAACAAACATTCTTCCTCATCAGTGGCAGGTTGGCAGAGAAGTTGCTGGTCATAAGGCTACAAAAGGAATGAGAGGCAGGGACAGACAAGCTGCTGAGTTAGTCTGTGGGACCGGGGCTGTTGCTGCTGCTCATTCTCAGCATTCTTTCCCCTCACACAGGAGTAGGTGAGGACACACAGGAGCACACGGGTAGTGTAAATCAGTGACCCTTGTCTGCAGGGTGAGGCTGAAGCTCTTTGGGAAAAGAATGAGTATTCCTTGTGGGAATTCCTGGGAAATGATTCCCCCCTCTCCCTCTAGGTGCCAGCAGAGCACTAGCCTTGCTGTGAGGCGTTGTCTCCTGGGTGTATTTCAGAACAGTGTTAATTTGTAATGCTGCTTGATTACTTTTTAGAGAGGTTGGGATTTAGTTATTGCAGAGAACAAACTCTGCATCCTTTGGAGAGCTGATGAAAAGAAAAAACACCGGAGTTTAATCACGTTCTTTGATGAATCTGTTTCTGCAAATACAAAACATGTTCTCACCTGTGATGTATCTCTCTATTTCACAGGTAAAGAACCAACCAGAGGCTTCTTGGCAAGCAACACCTGAGCCCTCAGAGATGTCCTGGTTTGTAACTGCACACAATTCTTTGTTCCAGAGATCCCTGGGGAGGAGCATGGCTGTTCCAGGGCCGTGCTTGCTGAGGGAGCATCATGGTTGAACTTGGGCATCCTGCCAGGAAGAGGCTGATGGAGCCTGGGATGTGCTGTGAGCTCCCTGCCTTGGGCTGTGCCACCTCCCAGCTGGCCATTTAATGCCTGTCACCCTCTGGCCTGGGACTACTGAGAAGTGGGATCCCTTCTGGTGCTGAATGGATCAGGCTGAAGCACCTTGTCCTGCTGCTCTGGGCTTCCCCACATGCCTGCTGGCAGGGCTCTCAGGGCCTGCTCCTCCAATGGCACTCATTGCACCAAAAGCCAGGTGTCCTTCCCTGCTCCCCCACAGCCAGCAAGAGTTCTGGCCCTTAAAGGGCTTGTTATTCCTGTATGGAGGGCATCAGCTCCATTTCCCAGAGTGTTTCTGCTGGCAGAGACTGAGACTGTGACTGGTTTGCAAGTGCTCTTAGAGATGGAGCATCGAGCACCTCTGCCATGACAGTTAAGGGATGCACCCACAGCACCAGTGACTGTTGTGGACTCTCTTTGCTTGGACTGGGTTTTTGGGAAGAAGACAAACACAAGTGAATGGAGAAGGACCTGAGATAGAAAAGACACAGAGAAAGCCACACAAGCTGTTCAAAAACTGAATTTCAATGCTCTCTGCACTTCCCCCAAGTGATCTTCCTCTCAGAGAAACAGAACAGGTGGAACTGCGTAACAGTAAGTGAAGTTTTAGTTATATTTTTTTAATATGTTGGCTTTTGATAGCTATTAAAAATTGTTTCAGAGATGTTTGGGTATTCCAGCCATGCTGCCAAAGGTGGATGATTTGAAGCTGGAGGTACAAACAGGATTTGCTGTTGGGTGCAATCAGGAAAAGGGGGAGGAACAAGTGGGCGGAGCAAAGCTGGGCGGCTCCCCAACGTGGCAACGGGAAACTTTCCGTGGTTGCTTTGCTCCCCTCACTGCCCCAGTCCTGAGCAGCTCTCTGAGAGCTCCCTCCGCTGGAAAGAGTTCAGTTGGTCATTACTAAAATGAATCCTGGTGAAAATACAAAGTGGTAGTAGCAAAAAAAAAAAAAAAAAAAAAAATTCTGCATTTGAAGCACTGATACTTCTAATCACTGATACTTCTCATAGGTGTTGATAAATACAAATCCCGTTTTTAACCCTGCTGCTACACCTCATACATTCCCCTTTCCACTTGTGGAAGGGTTGAGTGGCACTCAGAGAGAGGCACTTGCACTGCCCTGGCTGGGGCATCTGTGCTTCAGGATGGCTCATCAGCTCAGATGGAATTGGGCTGCTTAAGCTGGAACAGGTGGGGATTGTGGGAGCAGGACTTGTATGTTTGTGTGGCTCCCACAAAGGGCACTTACATGAATGGGAGGGTCTGATGTGTTCCCTTGGTTGTGAAATTCAGGAGAGGCTGGCTGAGAACTGGTTGGAGAAATCGATTGTGATGAACTTCCTAGCTCAGTGATTATGAGCTGGTAAAGGGTGGTGAGAAATGTCCTCCCAATACCTCACACTTTAAATGATGTCCCCTTGTTTTGGACTAACTCATATTTAAGTTGAAGCAATCTTTATTTTCAGTTGCAGTATTATCTTTTTTCCCTGCCCTTCTCTGGAGCTAATCTTTGAGACAATATAAATTGCTCTTCAGAAATCTCTTATTTTGCTTTGTTTCTGGTAAAACCAAACGCCCCAGCCAAGGTCTCCTAGAGCTGTGCTGTACAAACAGAAGGCAATGGATGATCTCTGCCCCAGTTTGGGATCGTGACTCTTTGGCTCACTTGCTCACTTCAAATGACAATCATATGTACCCAATCACTGAATCCTTGAGAAAACAAGGAATTAGTGAACGGGTACATATTCCTTGAAATCCTGGCAGGAAAAGCCAGGCCAGAAATAAATATAAAAACCTAGGTCCAAACAGAGAAAACTCTGAACTACCAGAATGTGAAAATAAGAGATTTTCAAAGTGAGAGGTCACACCATCCTGTCTTCTTCATTTGCATTTCACTTCTATTAGGAGTTTGAGTCCTGGGGCTCAGCCAGACTTGGGGCACGCATGGCAGGAGTCTGTGTCTGTCCAGTGATGGTCATTCCCAGAGGACAAATTCCCAGGAAAGAACTGCAAGCCCACAGTGCTGACAAAGGAACAAGCCTCCTTCTGCCACATACAAAATGAAAGCTCTTGGGACATCAGAGAACACAAATCTAATATCATAAAAACATTTCTTTACTACGTGTTGAAAGTTCATTCCAAAACAACAAAAGGAGTTAATTTCTCAGGCCAAACACTGCAGATGGTAAAGAAAACACCGAGATCCATGTCTTTAACAAAAAATCAGAATGTAGCTCTGTGGCTTTTATTTCAGTAATACTGAAAGCATTACAAACCCCAAAAGAATGGAACAGGGACTCTTTTACACATTACAGCACCTTCCCCTCAGAGTCCAGGGGGTTTATGCACTGTGTCTGTACAGCAGCAGGAGAAGGCAGCTCCTGGAACTGGAGCCTGGGGAAATACCAGATTGGGACACCTCTCTGGATTCCAATGGCAAGCTCAAAGTTGGGATTGTCAGCATTTCTCAGTATTATTGTACAGAAATTGGCACCCAAGAGTTCATTTGAAAGGTGTCTGCAGATCTGTCTGCTGCTAGTGCAGGGGATTTGGGTTTTTCAAGCCTCAGCAGCACACACATTCAATTGCTTCATTGCTTGGCTCTTTGCCTCTGTATGAGGTAAATCAGCTGCTAAATCTGTAGATGGGACGGATGATTGGGACGGAACATCCTCTCTGCCTAAAATCCACTGGGAAGCAAATGTCAACATGCTGCCCTCCCCCTTGTGTGGGTCACTGTTGGGGGCTCAGCTGTGGACAACATCATAAAAAGTCAGAACAAAACAATTACCCCTGCCCTAAGGATTCCACACAGTCTGTCACTACAATTAAATTTCATGTTTCTTTGTCCTGAAGTTAGGTTGATCATCTGCATTTGCTTAGAGGAGTTAGATCTGCACAACACCTTGTCACTGAGCCCCCTCACTCCTTTCAGCTATACTCTCTCTATGGATAATACCTTTAAAAACTGAACCCCCAGCTTTGCTCTGTGAGTAAAAGCAGAGTACATCTTGCTAAGCTTAATGCACCTTGGATTGCAGCTCTCCTCTGACTGTGCTCATGAGAGATACTGGAGGCAGACAGCTAGCCAGGCAGCCTCTCACTGGGTGAAATTCATGCTACTCTATTTGCAGGTGATTACAAAAACAACTTTTCAAGGTTGGCGTCCAGGCTTGCTGCTGCTTAGCACAGGAACAGGAGTCCAAAGACTTTTTTCTGGTTGACTAACTTCATTATTAGTTTTTCTCTTTTTTTTGGTGGTTTTCTCTCCCTTAGAAATGTCAGGGTTATGAAATCTGCTGGTTCATAGTTTTGCTGAAGGACACTTTCAGAGTCTCATAAAAACACACCAAGGCGATGGAGATAGTGAACTTTGATTGTATAGAACAATCACCCAGAGCTAATTCGTGGTCTGTACTTTTAAGGGATAATCAAATGCTGGGTTCTTGTAGGAGACTAAGTGTGTGCCATACTGCTCACTCTGAGGCTTTTTACACGCCTTGCACAGACATACGGACAAAATAATTGTGGTAATGAGAAAGAGTCCACTTGCTGCAGACAGACCAGCAAAAACATACTTGTAGCTGGGTTTTGTTTTAAAGCTGGTGCATGAATTACCTGGACCTTCCTGGCCTGTTGTGGTCTGGCTTGACCCTGCCTTGTTGGAGGCAGTGACACAGATGTGGTAGGTGGTGAATGGCAGCAGGTTGTACAGGGTGTACTGCCTGGCCGTGGGGTAGATGTTGTCCATGACAAACTGCCTGTCCTCGCTGTCTTGGGCACGAAGCATCAGCTCATAGCTGTGAACAACGGAGTTTGGGGCACACCAGCGGATCTGTGCGGAGCTGTCGGTGATCTCAATCACTGCCCTGAGCCTGGGGGAGTCTGGAACCTCATCTTCCCTGGAAGTGCCAGGACATGAGCACTGGGATATGTTCTGGAGCTCCTTGCACGGCTTCTGCAGGTGCCTGCAGGGATTGTAGTCACAGGCAGCCTGGGCTGTCTGCACTGGGCCTTCCTCCCTGGGCTCTTCATAGTTGTAGTCATCGGTGTAGTGTGGGGATGGCGTGGTGGGCACAGCCCTTGAGGGGGCGCTGCTCCTCGTGGGGTTCAGCTCTGGGGGGCTCGTCTGGGGGGCGCCTTGCCTGGCAGGGGTGGCAGAGGAGCGGCTGTGGTGGCTGGTGCTGTGGGGGACTCCTGTTCCTCCAGTGGAATAGGCACTGGTGCTCTGATTGAGTGTCCCTTCCTGAGGGAATGTCGTGTGAGTTGTTCTGAGCTCTGTCTGGAGCTGTTCTGTTCCAGCTGGACTTGGTGAGCTGTGGTCTGGGGACTGAGCAAAGAACTCTTGGAAAAAAACTGGGAAGGAGGTTACAGATGCCAAGGAAGGGGGACTGCTTGTGGGTTCAGAAACTGCCTCCTCCTCGTGGGAGGAACTGTTGGCCTTTGTTAGGATGGGCTCCGTTGGGTTGGATGCTGCTGTGCTCCTTGCATCCCTCTGGATGAGGGAGCTGGTATGGATGTCTTTGGTTAGCATTGGGTTGGATGCTGCAGTGCTCATGATATCCCTCTGGATTAGAGAGCTGGTATAGGTGGTTTTGGTTGGCATTGGGTTGGATGCTGCTGTGCTCCTTGCATCCCTCTGGATTAGAGAGCTGGTATGGGTGTCTTTGGTTGGCACTGGGTTGGATGCTGCTGTGCTCCCCACACCCCTCTGGATGAGGGAGCTGGTGTGAGTCAGATCTGTGGTCAGCAGGGCTGAGTCTGTTACTGCAGCAGAGGCATCATGGCTGGAGAAGCTGAAAGCATCACCCTCAGGAAGGGCTGTGTTTGAGTCGGGCTGTGTAACGTTGCTCTCTGACTGGCACTTGTTGTAGAGCTCCAACAGTGAAAAAGATGTTGAAGGTCTGCCCAGATCTTCCTGGGATGTACAAAAGGTCTCCCGAGCCCTGCAGAGGGAAACCAGAATAGTCAAGGTCCAGAAGAACATTACAGGTTTCTGTTCTGTCCAGGCTGCCTGGACTGGAATTGGTGACCTGCTGTCAAAACCATCTTTATGTTAGTGAGAATGTGAAACCTAGACCAAAGCTAGATTGCCTTAACAACAGTCCAGCCAGCTTTGCACAGCACTGCCTGTGGAATTTAGCTGGAATTGGCTTTGTAAGGTGCAGGGATATCTATGCCCGAGGGGAAGTGTCCTTTGGTACAACAATGGCTGTGAACTTTAGCAAAGGGCACCGGGATTCAGCTTGTTTTAAAGGGTCAGACTTTAATGCAGCACTAACAGAACACATGCAGGGAGCTGTAACGGGATTCCCGGGATTCCTAATCCATCTGCTTTAGGCAGCTGGAGGTGGGCTGATGCGGGACTTTTCAATGACTAAGATCGAATTCCTTATTTACTCAGCCACTGAAATTCTGGTAAAGAATGCAACTGCTAAACCCATCCCGATGAAACAACACTGTCTAATTTCAACAATTTACTTCCCTGCTCTCAGAGAGATTTGATGACAAATCTTCTTGGTGGCCTTTGAAAAGAAAGAGAGGCCATTTATATGCAAATATTTCCTTTAACTGCAGCTTACTGTAATTAGTCTGTAAAACTGAGGGGAGCATGAAAACAATAGGTGAGAAATGGTGCTATTTGCAAGGGGTTTTGTTGGCTGCCGGTGGTGATGTAAGCTTTGCAAGTAGCAGGGTGAGGAGAAAATAATTTGTTAAAGATCTTCCAAAGTTTCCCAGTTTCTGTTCCCAGCTCTGGTACACCAAGACAGCTCATTTTCTATCGTTAGCTAATATGGAAATATGGTCCAAAACAGAAAGAAAATACTCTCACCTAAAAATAGAACCCCAGCTAATAACACCTTATGCTTTGTCCCTGAAAGGGATATTATTTTGCATTTCTACCTCTTGTGGAAGGGAAGAACACACCAGGAATTTGAACAGCTCAGTGAATAGTGGTGAATGCCTGGTCCCCAGACTACTTGCACACTGAGGCTGTGTCTGCAGAGCATTGCTCGATCTCCTGAGCTCACTTACTTTTGCAGAACAACTTTCTGGGGCGTGGACAGCAGCCAGGAGAGCTGGCAGCTGCACAGCAGAGGATTCCCGTGCAAGTTGATGGTGATGCCATCCAATGAATTGGTGTTCCAAGGATGAAAGGAACTCAGGTTACAGCTACAAGAACACAAATGCAATAATTAAGAAACGCTGAGGTACCTTCCAACGATTGGAGTGTGCTCAGTATCCCTTACCCTCAGTGTGTGTAGGGCACAGAGCAATATTCCCAGTTCCCCTGGCAGAGAGCAGTTATTAACCCACCACCCTGCACTCTGCATGCTCAGAAGATGCTCTCTAATTTCTAGGACTTTAATTCCTTAAAGTTTTAGCACTTTGATATTTAGCACTTTGAACTGGCATTCCTGCAAGTGTTGGAAAGTGCTGTGTGAATTCAGTGAGGCAGTCAAGGGGGATGGAATCCATAGGATTTTTGCTTTGTATGGGTTTATTTTCCTGAAACTGGTTTCTAGGCACAGGCAGTGCTCTAGTGTTTGTTTTCTGATATGCTTATATCTGGGTCGCTATTATAAAAATGTTTCAAAGTGCTCTCCAGATTTTTTCCTTTATGCTGGCTGCTCTGTGTGCACTTCACCTGCTCCTATTTTGATAAATCAGTTTCAGACTTTTGCCCCTCCTAGTATTTCAGGTATGTGATGTACCAAGAGGTGCTACCCCTAGGATGAGGACTGAAACATTGCTTTTACTAATGATGAACAAGGAGCTATATTAAACTCTCTCACTAAAAGTGGGACAGGGTTTTTGTCCGCTTCTGAGCTGCAGGTTTTGGAGAACTGTCAGCACTCATCCTGGCAGAGCAGGGAACCCTCAGAGACTTGCTTCTCCTCTGATGGGATTTTGCCCTTGCAAGGCTGGTCTTTAGCACAAGCAGGGTTCTGTGGATCTCTGCTAATCCAAACAACCCTGGGTGAATTCATTGGATGGGGAGATAAGGCAGAGGATGGGAACACAATGGATGCAACCTCAAGCAAACAGTTAATTGTGCTGTGAGCCCCAGGCTGCCTCTTTGGGCTCTATCAGCTCTATCAGGCCAGATCACAGATTGTACATGGCAAAGACAGCAAGTCCACACCTCCTTCCTAAATCTGATAACAAACTGTTCAATTCAGCTCCCAGGCACCACCGGCTGTGGGGCAAAGGCAGCATGATGTGGGGAAGGACAAAAAAACCCAACTCACTTCTCAAATGAGAGATGGCTCAGGTGAGGAGCACTGTCAAACACCTCTGTCTGCACAAAGCCCAGGGAATGGGAGTCCTGACAGTGCAGCTCTCGGAGACCTGGCAGGGACCTGAGGAAGTCGCTGTTGAGGCTTCTTAACCGTGGCATGTTTGTCAGGTAAAGTGATCTGAGGCTGGCCAAGCCTCTGGCCCACTCTGGTCGAACTGAAACAGAAAAATATTTACAGCTATTGCCTGAACAGAGCTTTCCTGTGGATTTCTGCCTAGAAAAAGGGTTTAAGTTCATAGATATGAAATATCTGTCACCTTCTGCAGCTATTCTCTTTGGGAAAGGAACAGAACAAAAGTCAATACACTGGTGTGTGAACACTCATGCAGCTGCATTTCTGTAATAGTCCCCACAGGTTAGGCTGTCGTAGGGCAGAGGAAAAGAGGGGAAAATAGGACAAAGCCGATAAGAGATATGGAATAGATTTCTTGTTGGGTGAGATTAAATGAACAAGGATTTCTCAGCTCACGAAAGTGGTCTACAAGGTCGTGACTGGTGCAAGAAATGCAAATCACTTCTTTCTCCTACCACGGGAAAAAGCCAAGAGGCATGAAACTGAAAGGATGGTCTTGTATAATAGGACCTTTCTGTCCCATGACTCAGTAGGGTAACTCACTACCACAAGACAAATTAGTCAAATTTATGGAGGAAATTTGGTGGTGCAGCTGTTTAATGTGAGTTGAAGTGAACCTCCAGCTTGAGGCCCTGGCCCTGCCCCAGGCTGAGAGCAGCCGGGCAAGGCATCTCACATCTGTGTGTCCCAGCACCTCAGGTACAAACTGAGGCTGGCAGGGCAAAAGGGAGAAAACGTGCTGTGGATTGCTCGGGGCAGGGATTGTCCCTCCCTCAGCGGAAGTGTTTGGGCTGTGGATGGCACAAAAAGCCTCTCTGTGCTACTGCAGTGCAGCTCTGAAAGCTCAGAGTAGCTGTGGGGACAAAGAAAGATTTCAACAGCCTGTCTGGAAAGAGAAACTAATTTCCTCCTGTGCTTCCCAGAGCTAATCCCGGGGCTGACAGGGAGGTGACTGTCAGTGGCAGACAGTGGGATTAGGATGGAGGTGGTGACTACCCTGGGACAACCCCTCCTGTCTCACGGTGTCTGGTCTGTGCCCTTGCTTTGGGAGGCTGCTTTGCGTGACTGCCTGGAGCAGCTGTGTGCAGCTTTCGGTGTGGGGTGGGGTGTTCCCCTGCACTCCAGCCCAGCCAGGATGGGAGCCATGGTCCCAGCACGGCTTCTGCTCCCCCGGCCTGACCCAGCCCTGTGCTTACAGGGGGAACCCCAAGAGACTTACTTGTCTCAAGAAAGGTCCTGCTCAGATCAAGCACCTCGATGGAGTTTCCAGGCCTGTCCATGGCCTCGTGGGGATCTGTGCTGATGGCAAAAGCAGAGTCCCTGATTCCCCTGCTGGCATCCTGCCCCAGCAGCGTCACAGAGAGGTTCAGGACCTGCAGCTGAGGGTAGCAGGAAAAAGCCAGTGGCTGGATTTCCATCAGGGGATTGCCAGCCAGGGACAGCCACCTCAGGTTGGGCAGGGCAGAGCCGAGGCAGGATGGCACAGACGACAGCTTGTTAAAACTCAAGTCCAGCTTGAGGAGACTGCTGAGGGTTTCAGATCCCCACCTCACTGCCCAGAGGTGGTTGTGCCTCAGCGAGAGGACACGCAGCTGGGGCAGGTTTGCTATCTCTGTGCCATTCACCTCCTGCAAGAGGTTATTGCTGAGATCCAGGCTCTGCAGGGCCTCTGGAAGGCAGACTGGGAAAGCTGTCAGGCTGCTGTTGGTCAGCTGCAGGGTGATCCAGGTCCTGTTCTTCTGATCCTCACAGGACATGCTGGTGACATTAACATTTTCCCAAGTGTCCTCCTGAGCCAGCTGGAAAAAGGTGGTGACATCCCTGGAAGCTGCTCTGCTCACAGGGCTGAGTGCTGTGGTCCCCAGCAGCAGAGGGAGGATGAGCAAGGGGGACAACATCCTTCTCCAAGGTGCCTGTAGTTTGCAAGGTCTATTTCAGGGAGGGGAAACAAAACATCGACATTTAGAGCTAAATTAAAATCCCTCCAGTCATCTACAAACTATTTAAAAGAAAAACAGTTTATAAATCCTTTCCTATTATATCCAGACAGTGGTACAGTGATAATTAATAGCTCTTCTGTAATTAAGCCTAAGCAAATGTGAATCCTTGGGGACAGAAGTATCATTCAGTCTTAGTCTAAGTGTGCCTGGAGTCGTTCATGCAGGGAGCATGAACCAAGCTGTATCCCACACCTGTCCCTCAGTGCCAGCAGGCTGTCCTGTGCTGTGTCCACTTTGGGCAGCCCAGTGGGAAGAGTTTTCCAGTGGGGTGATGCCCAAACAACCAGAACTGTTTTCTGTGAGGCTGTGTAAAGCAAATGAATGGATCCGAGGACAGAGGAGAGTTACCAAACTTTACAGCCCAGAACCCCAAACTGGGCAGCGTTGTGTGGAGTGGGTAGGTAGAAGCGCCTTTCCTGTGTAAGGAAGGACTTTGCTTTCCCTAGCAGGAACTGGAACAGAAAACCCAGGGGCTTGTGTGGGCTCTGCCAGGGCAGTTCTGCCCCGTTGTGAGCACAGTGCCAGTGGGGACCCACAGGGATGTTTGGGCTCCCGAGGAGCGGGCAGTGCCCCCGAGCCTGTGTGCCAGGCAGGGCTGGGCCTGCTGTGGGTGAGAGGCACAGGCAGGCTCTGCACGGCCCAGCTGCTGGGAAAGGATGCACTGAAAATGCAGCTCCCGAACCGCATTTCAGTGGAAGTGGTCAGAAACTGAATATGCTCCTGGATCGGGGCCCCAAAGGCCTGAGCGCCAAGAAACATGTTATTTAGTGTTACAGCTGCCTCCGTGCTCCCTCCTCCTCCCACCCCTGCTTTGGTCTTTCTCAAAATAAAAAGTCCTTAGTGACTTGTGCGGGGTCCCCACAGGTAATGTGTGTCATTAAGGAAGGAATTAACCCCAGCCCCAAACTCGTGCTTTCCTTGTTGAGCTGTCTTTTGTGCTTCCCGGCAACAAAACGATTTCTCGTCCAGAAATATATTACAGTGTAGGGTGGTAACCGAAACCCCACGGATTATGAAATATCTCAGACTTATTCCAAAGTTTAATTGCTCCTCGCTGTTCCCTGAATGATGCCAGGTCTTGCCCAGACCGTTATCCTTTGCTGCCATCCCAGGTTTGAAGTAGGGATCAGCAAAACAGTGTGCACCGGAGCACCAAAATAATGTGTTGTGTTTGCCTGTGTGCTTTTCGTCAGGCGGAACCGGGCAAGATCCGAGCAGCAAGATCCGAGCAGCCTCAGGGCTTCCCGGCCACCGGGGCCGCTGGTTCTCCCGCTCCTCTGCACATGGGCAGGGAGAGGATGGGAGGAGTTGGGCTGCTGTATTCCAATCTCAGATTTAATGTTAATCCTTGCCTCTAAACCGCACCCGCTCGCACGTACCTGTCCGACAGTCCCGGTGCCTCGCTCCGAGCGGCTCCGGCTGCTCGGCCCGGCTTTTATACGCTCGGGGTGACTCAGCCGGCCCCGTGAGCTGCCTCTCTCCCGGGCCCGGCTTTCCCGGCTCTGCCCACAGGCTAGGGCGAGGTCTGTTCCAGGCTCGCTCCCCCGCATCCAGCTTTGAGAGGGGGCGGCTCCGGGCAGCTTTCCCCGCTCCTTGGCCCTAGCGGGAGGTGAGTGGGAGGGCTCTTATTTCCCAACACTCACGCAGGGCTGCTCCTGTCTGTCTTTGTCTGAGCAGAGGGGGGTAAAGGGAAAAGATCAGTGTCAATAGTCCCGGCTCTCACGTCTTCCACCGATGGGGGAGGGAGGGGAATTGTTGTGCTCCTTTGTTGGCAGGTCAGGATGATGTAAAGCTGAGGCTTTGCCTGCTGACATGAGCTTTGGTCTCTCTTTAGGCGCCAGTGAGGGGCTTCAAGTGTTTGAATTTCTAAGACTCTGGCTCTTGGGGAGTAAATTCTGCAAAAGTTCAAGCAGGACAAATTACTTTCTAAGGAGGCCCTTAGGATATGTCAGAAGTGAAACTCTCACCTGCTCCTCCCGCAGAGAGGAATTCTCTGTGCGGATGGAGAGGGCGTAGGGCACCTCGCTCCCCGTGGGACGGCCTTTGGGAGGCCTCTCCTGCTCCCGCTGCGCGTGGGCTGCGTTCTCTGTCCTGCATCTGTGTACCACATGGCTTGGGACAGTTCCCTTCCCGCTACTTCCCTCATCGTTTGCTGGATAAGTAAAGCTGACAACAGAAACCATCTCCCACTGAGGGACCTGCCCCGAGCTGGGCTTTTCAGCATTCCCACAATTCTAACAATAATTAGGTCGAGAACAGAGAATAAAGTCGGGGAAATGATCCCAGAAAGGGACGAGTTGATGGAGATTGTTCCAAAGTAAAAGTTAAGGGTGGTTGTTCTGTAGCTACTGCAGGACAATTAATTGTTAAAATTTCCAAGGAGAACAGTAGTCAGTGCTTTTTCTTTATCGGGGCAACAAAACAGATCCCTGACATGAAGGCAGCACCGACCTGTAAACTTCGGTGCTAAAGTGCAGATAAAGGCCTTGCTTGCCCAAAATCGTTGAGTCTGCAAGCACACATTAGGCAGCCCTTATCTCCTGGCCGTGTGGGTCATCGTGAGCGTGGGGAGAGAGCCTTGAAAAACACCAGAACATCCCAGAACACAGATAGGGGCTTCAGCAGGACTCTGTGGAGCCACGGCGTTCCCGCGGAGGCCAGCGAGGCGCACACGGCGTTCCCGCGGGGCGGCTCCGGGGCACACGGACGGTTCCTAACGCGGGGCTGATCCCACCACTGACCCGGGCCGGCACGTGCGGGCCCGCAGGTACCTCCGGCTCAAAGGGCAGGGCGGAGCAGGTTACAAAAATCTGAAGAATTTGGTACAAGGGCAGGAAAGCCCAGCTCCAGGCAGGCCCGTGGAAACCCTGCCTTCCCTCTGGTTTCACAGAGCTGCCGGCTGCGGCACTCCTCTTTGGGAAGCCGAGGAGCAGGGAGGTGGCCTGGCTTTGCCCTGAATTATTAAATACTTGTGATTGCTGCCCTTAACTCAGTATTTACAGGCTGTGAATTTTCATTGCTTATTTTAGGGTTATTTGCTATCTTATTGATTTTAATATCTTACAAAAAATACTCCGGGAAACTCGGGGAGCCAAAAGCTGCTTTAATTTTAATGAGTTGATCCTTACTGACTTCATTTTGGAGACTGAGTTGAGCAGACTGTCAGACTGGGAAAAGGGCTGCTCGTTTTGGTGAAGGTGGAAGGGAGATGGAGGTTTTCTTTGCCCTGAGACCCTTGATTTCTGAGTGATACAGAGAACCTGTTGCAAGAGGCAGAGCGCCCTTGGAAAATGAGCTTTGGTTATTTTTATTTCCCGTCTTGGTTTCTGATTTTTTCATTGGCCAGTTTTTGTGGCAGGTATTGTATTTTCCCAGCTCTTTGGTTAGCTGCAAAGAGCTAATCTCTCATCATCTGAAATATTTCTGCCGTGATGCTACATACAGGTACTAGTGGAGGTTTCCCAGGGCACGCAGCAGCCCTTGTTCACCAGTTTCTTTGAAATATCTGCTAACAGCAGGCAGAGATTTCCCCTTTGTGATTCACTTTGGCTTGTTCTCATGTCGCCTTTTATTCTTTTTTCCGCTTTTCTGAGAGTTTCGGTGACAACCTGAGGGAGCGTTAGCAAGGGCAGGCGTTCCCGTCAGCCTTTTCACACGGGCCCTGCAAAGGGAGCTGGAGCAGACGCCCCCTCCCCGGGGCGTTCAGGGCTGCACAAAGCCCCTCTGCCCGCAGGAATTCTCGCGCTGAGCCTGCATTCCTCAGTGACACCGAGATAAGCAGAGCACCAGAAGGTGAGGATGGTACCAGGCTGTAAAGTTTAAGAGGTGAATGTTTCTTACTGGCCGCGATCCAAGTGATGGTTAAGAATGAAAATATCCTGAAAAAAAAAATCTGGAGAAAGGCTTTTAAAGGCAACAAAAGAACTGTTTCACGGGTCTGTCCACAGAGCAAGCACAAGCAAGACATTTTCCTACAGAAAAGGGGAGAGAATGGAAGAACAGGATTATTTAGCCTGAGGTTTCAGAAAACGATGGGGTGTGTGTTCTCCTAACCCCGGCTGAAGGCAGTGGTGAAATCCCCAATGGAATTTGATGTAGGAGCAGCAGGATCCTCTGACATCGGCAGTGCTTTACCCTGACCTGGCTTGGGTTTAGTTAAGCACCGTGCACAGAACAGGGTTGCAGCTGAGAGGAAATGCAAGTTTCCTAAAGGTTTGTTTTCATCTAATAACATTCCTGCCCAGGATTTCATCTCTGTATTGCAAAACTTCAGGGGAGACGCCCCTGTCCTGCTTTCACTTCACTCTTTCACTCATTCTGGGAAGCCTCTCCCACATTTGTGCAATTGATAACGTGGTTTGTGCAGCCCACCTGCTCTCAGCCCTGTGTGGGATGAGCTCATGGGAGCCGAGGGTGATCGGGGATTGCACAAATTGGGGAGAGTGTGGAACTGCACGTGCTCTGAGGGAATGGCTGGAGTCTGGGGGGACGTGCTGGGTGACATGGCTGCCATGGAAGGAGACTCCAAGCCCGGGCTGCTGCAGGTGTCAGGCACAGCAGGCTGGGACAGACCTCCTCTCAGGTGCTGCCTGCCACATCCAGCCTGGAATTATGGAAGTGCAGGAATGCCCTGGGTCCTGCCTTCCCACTCCAACCTCTGCAGGAAGGAGTCTTCCCACTGAAACCTCTCCTCTTTGTAGGAAGAGGAGCTGTAGTCACATGCAGCACTCAAAGCAGCTGGATAAAAACAGTTTCCTTTCCCATCTGTTGTGAAAATGCCTTGCAAAGTGAGTGGGACAAGGAAAAGCTACAGCTGAATGACCTGAGGAAATACAGAGAGAGGGCATCATCAGGGGATCACTCTCTTAAACCTAAAATGGCAAAGGATAGGGCTTCCAGCCAGCCAGGATGAGCTGGCA